TCTCTCTCTCTCTCTCTCTCTCTCTCTCCCTCTCTCTCTCTCTCTCTGAGAGCGAGAGCTCTGAAAAGAGCTTCACTGAGTGAGAAATAGTTTTGAGAGCTCAGCAGACAGTTTCACTTTCACTTTCAGTTTCACTTGTTTGCTTTGCTGCTGCCGAGAGCCTGCAGGAGTCATGGGTGGGGTGTGTGGGGTGGGGAGGTGCGCTCCGTGTTGAGGAAGCTCGGCTTAAAGACACGTCCCAGAGGAGTTCCTGGTCCCAAAAGGCGTTTCTGGTCCCTACCAGTCGTTTTGCTCCTCAGCATGGCTCCCTAAAAACGCTGCAGGATTTCTCAGACATGCCTGAATGAGTTAAAGCAAGGCTTTGGACATGTTTTTATGAGAGTATAACATTATAACATGATATAAAACTCAAAAAAGTTGATTTTACATGATATTGCCCCTTTAAAATTATTCAGAATCAGATCAGAGTGCAGCCATTGCCAATATCTTTAGGATCGGTTTCCATTTTTTAGCCATCTTTCAGCCACTGTAAACTCATCTTTGGTGACTTCCATCTTTTCAGGTATCTCTACATATTAAAACAAAAAACGTATTTTATGTTGGATTTAAATAGCTAAAACAAAAATCAAACACTGTGGATTTTTTATTAGTTTGATTTATTGTAAATGTAAAAACAAAGAAAAAAAACCAACTTGGTTGTTTGGTATTTGTTTGGTATTTCCAGTGAAGTGTATTTTAATGACTGTTCTGTGTCTTTGAACTCTCAGCAGTGATGGGGTGCTTAAAGAAATGACTCTGTAGGCAAAATTTATTCTTGAGCAGTGAGGTTTATTCAGAATAACAGCCTAAACCAAATTAAGAGACTTCTGGCCAATTGAGTGAAGTACTCCCCAGAACTTTCTGGGTCATCCCTTCTTATAAGCTTCTACCACACCCAGATGTTAACAGTTCCTTCTATGGTAATGGAGTTTGCTCCTGAAATGTATTTTAAGACACACAAACATGTTTACCACTGAAAGCTGTTTTTTAACAAATGAGCTAAGGATGAGCTCATTCTTCCCATCCTTATMAGGAATTGCTGAGTCATTAATTTAAGAACAAACTGCTTGACTGAATCTGTAGGATGACTTCATACACCTCACCAGTTTTAGTTTGAAATGGAAAAAACCAAAGAGTGAACCATTCCCAGGTTRTAAGGTGATAGTACAGTTTGTTCTTGTTAATTCAAATGTAAAATAAAAGTTGTAGATATCATCAATCAAAATGAGTTATTTGATTTAAAGGAAGCAAAAGYTTTTTTTTTCCTCTATACTTTACAGACAAGTACCGAGCCTCAAGCAGAAGATAGCAGGGAAGTCTCCTCCAACAGAGAAGTTTGCGATCCGTAAAGCCAGACGCTACAAGGCTCCTCACCCAGTCAGGCTGCCAGCTCCAGTTCTGGTAAATCCCACAGCAGAATAAAGACATCCACTCACAGTGATTGTAGTTGGTTGTATAAACAGTATCAGCTGTTTGATTACAGGAGATGATGTACATGTGGAACGGTTTTAGTATGATCAGCAAACAGCCGGAGCTGACTGAGGGCATGATGCAGACTTTAGTGGAGGCAGAGCGCACTCTGCTGGAGTCTCCTGGTAATTTAGCTGGTCCAAAATCAACAGAAGAAAAACAAAAACGTGGCTTCGTACTATTTTAATTACAGCATATCTAATCCACTCTTGGCAGAAAATGAATATGTAACAGATGACCGCTGTTTGATCCACATGCTGAAGGGCCTGTGCTTCAAGAACCAAGGGATACTTCAGGCCGCCGAGGAATGCTTCAACAAAGTTTGTTCAAGGTGAGCTCCACAAGACGCTCGAACAGATCTATCCTTCTTCTGTGAACAAATATCAATCTGWACGTTGCATCTTCAAACAGATTTAGAAACTCTGTCAAGCATTGTTTGTGTGTTGTTGGATTACGATGAGAAGACAAATGATTCTTCAATAAGAAAAGCAAATTTGAATTGACTCCAAAGCAACCAAAATAAAAGAACTGGCCTAAGTTCTTACTATGCTTTGTTTTCTTAGTAACCACAACAATATGCTCAGCTCTCACACAGTGGATATTTGCACAGCAAATATWATGATGTCATCACCTGGAGAAAATACTCAGATTTTAAAGGGGCTGTTTGTTTAACCTACCTGTRCTGCACATCTGCAGTGCAGGGACACAACTTGACCCAGATGTGCAGCAGATGATTTTTATTTTTTTATGTATATATATTTTATTTTCATCTTTCAGTGAAAAGAAGATTAAGTTTGACCACTATCTGGTGCCCAACTCTCTGGTGGAGCTCAGTCTGCTTTATATTGACCAAGGCAGAAGAGACGAGGCCATTAAAATACTGCGGAAAGCCAAGTGAGTTGTTCCTTTACAAACTTGTAGWGTTAATCTTTATTTTCAATACAATTACTTACTTGAATACTAGTACTTGTAAGTACTACATTGTATTAACATGGTTTTCAAATCTCATAAACCCATATTTCATTCATAACGGAACATAGCAAATTAAATTGTACCATTTTAAAGTTTAAATATTTGATATTTACGGAAGCGTATTGCTATCACGCAGGAAAAAAAATCAGAGCGCTATCACGTTATAACGTGATACGTATCTTGTTAAAATGTGATACGTATCTTGTTAAAACGTGATAGTATCTTGTTAAAACGTGATAGTATCTTGTTAAAACGTGATAGTATCTTGTTAAAACGTGATAGTATCTTGTTAAAACGTGATAAGTATTTGTTAA